GTGTCAGAGGCAGTGCTGTTGGCGCAGAATAGAGCAGGGTTTAGGGCCGTTGTGCATAGGGTCGCTATGAGTCGGAAACGACTCAATGGCACATAACAACAACAACATAGCCTGGATCAGGTGCACCATAGTCTCCAGACTGAAATTGTTACCTCTCAGTATGCTGGAGAGGTCCATGGAAACATATATTTACTGCACAATTCATCTTTTGATTTCCTGATTGTTCATGCCAAGAGTGTTGATTGTGGAGCCACGCAAGCTGTCCTTAATTATTGCAACAAGAGGCTTTAACATGTTCCTCAGTTCCTTCAACTTAAGGATGCGAAAAGAGTTCATTCCTTTCATTTTCCAACTCCAGATTTTTGTACATTTCATTATAATACTTTGTTTTGTCTTCCCAAACTACCCTACTACCCTTTGAAATATTCTGTTTTGCTTTTTTACTTCCTGATTTCTTCCCTTTGCTTTGGCTTCTTGGTGCTCCAGTGTCTCTTTTGACACCCGTCTTGGTCTCTTCTTCCTCCTCTGTCTTTGTAATGATCCCTGGCATTTTTTCTGGATGATATTCTTTTTTTTTTTTGTGAGTGTACTGTTAAATCAGATCTGACTGGTACAGGAGGAGATTGTCCCTCCTTTTCCCGGCAGAGCATCTGGTGGATTCGAACCGTGTGCCTCTGGGATTGTAGTTGCAGCTCCTTGCCACTAGGCCACCAGAGCTCCCCTGGATGATATTCTTGATATCCTCCCACAACTCATTTGATGTTTGCTCGTTAGATTTCAAAGCCACAAATCTATTTTTTTGAGATGGTTTTTAAGTTCAAGTGGATAGACTCAAGGACAAATTTTAGTTCTTGAGATTATTTAAAGCTTTATGGCATCATGCAAAAGAATGCTGTACATTATTTGCTGATAACAAAATGTCTTTGTGTGAAGTACATATTTCAAATTATAATTTTGTCTGTACAAGAACTATTCCAAAGGTGGTGTTATGTGTTGTGGGGTCTTCCCCTCCTTCATAGACCCTCCACTCTTTAGAGCATGATGTCTTTCTAAAAGAACTGATCCCTCCTAACAACATACTCAAAGTATGCCAGATTTATTTTCACCATTTTCTCCTGGAAGTAGCATCCTGGCTGCACTCTCTTCAAGACATAATCTGTTTATTCTCTTGGAAGTCCATGACATATTTAGTGCCCTTCTCCAGCACCACAACTCAAAAGAATTAATTTTTCTCTTGGCTTTATTCACTGTCCAACTAACAGATACATAGCAAGTAATTTAAAAAACTATGTCTTGAATCAGATGAACCATAGTCTCTGAATTGACATCTTTACTCTTCAGGAATTTGGATAAGTCATTGACTGCAGACATTTCCAGTGCAATGCATTTTTTTATTTGCTCCCTGCTGGTACCAAAGTTGTTGATTGTGGATCCAAATAAGAATAAGTCATTCTCCATCTATCATAGTTTGCTTCTGTCCTCATGAAATCATTCTCCATCTATATCATGGTTTGCCTTTTGGCTCCAGGGTGAGGATTTGTCATTTTTTCTTTATTTTTTCCATTAATTCATTGTTGCACTTCCTCCCTGCCTCCCCATTCGCTTTTCTCTTTGACAAGTGAAAAACATTAAAACATTATTTCATTGTTGTACAAA